GGTATAGTCGTCGCATCGGCAATTATCGGTCTCCTCTGTCTAATCGATGAAGCTGCTGCCAGCGCCCTCTTCTCGCTCGCTGTAGCAGGCAACGACCTCGCCTGGCTAACGCCCATTCTGGCGCGTCTGCTCTGGGGCGGTGATCGATTTATCCCCGGTGAGTTCTACACAGGTAAGTATCTCAGTAAGCCCATTGCGTGGGTTGCGGTTATCTATATGATATTCGTTATTGTTCTTACTATGATTCCTACCGAGGGGCCGAATCCGTCGCGTGAGTTTGAACTATTCTATACTATGCTATGCTATGACGAGTACTTTTGCTGACGACGAGTTTGTTTGAAGCTCAAACCATGAATTATACCGTTGTTATTAATGGGAGTCTTTGGCTTGGCGCGGTGGTTTATTATTATGTTCATGCGAGGAAGACGTATAAAGGACCTCAGACTACAGTTAGTCCTGAGGATGAGGGAAAGGGTTTGGAGCAGGACTCTAAATAGGTGGTGAGAAGAGATAGACGGGACTTTGGGCTGGCATGCTCTAGGCAAGGCTCTTTTATTCATGTCGATAGATTAGGTTCATATGTACCCAATGACTACAAGAAGTGAAGCGTTTTACTCTATCTACATTAGGTACATAGAGAGGCACTGGAAATTTCAAATTTCAGTCGGTTTTCAAACGGTCATTATATTGCGGCAAGAGACTAGACTATGAGTACAGCATGGTGAAGCATGCTCCACGGCCCCCTGTACATTCATGCAGTGGGCTCGCACTGCCCAACAGCCATCGCCAGGCTGTTGGGACGGTGGATTAATACCCTCGCGTGATGTCTCGGTGTTCCTGCATCCCCTCCTCCCCTCGGGGCCGAAGCTTTATCACCTCATATCTTCTTGCATGCGCTATAACTAGGATTTGAAAACCATGCCCAACCCACTAGGCGCCGCATCCTTGAACCCATTCTTGTAATACAACTTTCGCCCAGCTTCATCTGCGAACAAAGAAATGTAGGGTTTTCCATCTGACGGAGCCCCCTGGCTGATTCGCTGGAGGAGAGCCTTCAAAATCACGTCGCCAAGCCCTTTCCTTTGGTGTTCAGGGTGGACAGCTATGTCTGCGATATGGAAATACCAGCCGCCATCCCCAATCACGCGTCCCATCCCGATCGGCCGTGGGTCGCCATTTGTCGCGTCGGAGGTTATATAACAACCATACCAGCTTCCCGTAGCAACAGCGGCCGCCTGGGACGGTGTTTTTACCGATAGTCCGGCGGCTGAACGAAGATGCAAATACTCGGGAACCGAAGGGTAGCCGGAGTGAAGTGTGTACCCCGAAGGGAGACGCGGATCACTGTGAGAACTCATTTTGAAGAAGTAGGAATAGGAACGCTAGGATAACAGGAAAGCTGGCTGCACAATGTCTAGGAAATCCCTCCGCGTCCCCCGCGGGGGAAAGTCACACTTGTGGCTTATATTCTGGCTCGTGACACAGATCCAAAGGTGGGTCGATCAAACTCCATTATTTGGCTTTCAATTATCGCTAATCACCCTTACACCAGGGCTAAAAGAATCGTCGCTATGGACATCAATTCGTCTTTTTCGTTTCTTTTTCGTTTCTTCTTCGTTTCTCAAAAGCAATTTCTCTTCGGGGTATCTTCGCTCAGACTCTATGCATAGATAAACTATGCATCTACTCAGGAATCTCGAGGACGTAGCGACCGGCGATCTTGCCTTGCTCTGTATTGCACCTATTAGCATATGGTCGATATCAAGTAATCGGAACATCTGAAACGTACCCATGAGCTTGAACACCTCAGGCAGCTCCTTCAGAGGAACAGTCTTGAAAGGAGCCTTGATCAAGCCACGCGCGTAGAAGTCAATGGCCTCAACACCATCCTGACGGTTACCGACATAGCTGCCCTTAATGGTGACCATCTTAACAACAGTTTCAAAAACAGGGGCCTTGAGGAACGCATGGGCAGGAAGACCAATGGCAACAATAGTACCACGAGAGCGAGCATATTCGACAGCCTGCTGGAAAGGCTTCTCAGAGACAGCAAGCAGGAGCACGGCGTGGGCACCCAGGCCGTCAGGAGTAGCAGCCTTGACATCAGCAACAAGATCGGTAGACTTGGTGAAGTCAACGTAGGCCTGGACAGTATATTAATTAGCATGAGCCCCCAAAGTAAACCAAGGGAATAGAAAAGCCTACCTCTGCGCCAAGCTGCTCACACATAGCCTTCTTCTCCTCGCCACCATCAATAGCAATAACACGCAAGCCCATAGCCTTAGCATACTGCTGCGCAAGCGAGCCAAGACCACCACCAGCACCAACAATAGCAACCGTCTGACCAGGGCGTGCACCGGACTCCTTGAGACCCTTGTAGACAGTAATACCAGCACACAGTATAGGCGCAATAGCATCAAGCGGGACCTCCTTAGGCAGCTTGGACACATGCGCCGCCTTGCCAATCGCGTACTGCTGGAAGGTACCGTCAACCGTATATCCGGACAGCTGGGCATCGGGACACAAGGGCTCGTCGGAGGTCTTGCAGAACTCGCATGCGAGACAGGATCCGTTCAGCCATTTGATGCCTGCGTGATCGCCGATTTCGATCCCCTGTGCGAGAGAGCCCTTTGCGACGACGATGCCGGCGCCTTCGTGGCCGCCGACTAGGTTCTGCTTCAAGGTGAGGGGCCAGTCGCCGTTCATGGCGTGCAGGTCAGTGTGGCAGACGCCGGTGTATTTCATCTTCACGAGGACTTCGTCCGGGCCGGGCTTGGGGACGGGAATTTGTTTGTACACGGGTGGTCCGCCTTTCTTTTCGATGACTTGCGCCCACTGGGTCTCAGGGATTGGGGACATCTTGGTTGGAGTATGAGTATGTGAGGGTAAGAGGTAAGAGGTAAAAGGTAAAAGGTAAGAATAGGTAGAGGTATGTGAGGGTAAGAGTAGATTAAAAGTATTAAGTGGGATGTGGTAAGTAGTAAAGTGATAGACAGCGTAGCACAGGGAAATATGTTGAGAAGCGGCTGTCTTCTTATAGTAGCCAAGCGCATTGCCTGATCAGAGTATCGGCTGCTTCAACCATGAGATCATTCAAATCAATCCGGTTCTTCGGTAAGTTTATGGTATCTGTGTCATTGCCACAAAAGAGTCTTGGAATACCTTGGAATAGCTACTGGGTATTACCTACATATGTATGTATCCACTTCTGCTCCCCGTTTGCGGTATACACCGGGATACAGTGCAGACCCCGGTATTGTCTAGACATCTACTCCGTAGACCTTTGCTAACTGTGTTGGACATACTGGTAGTCTACCTCCATCGCTACAACTTCTTGATAGATATCCTGGGAAATCGAAGGGCTTGACCCCTCTCCATCTCGGCTTATATGCATCTTGGAAACATGAACCCACTCAAATGCAACACCCCTTATTTGGATAAAAGAAGAACTGCAATTGGAATCAGGCATGGATGATCAGGAAAATTAGGAAGATCATGACAATAGCAAAATATGTTATTTAGGTAAGAGGCAATTGTACCATTCCACGGTTATGTCCACGTTGTCCATATATGAGTGCAGGACGTCATCAAGTTGAGGATCAGGCCATGGCGGGGTAGGGGTAGGGTGCTTGGGGGATTTGGGTATTTGGATATTTGGATCACGGTGAATGTTAGAACTATCAGTTAATTAGCTAACTAGTTATTATACAAGTGCCTTGAAATTAATATCCAGATGTTGTATATCCTACATAACTAGTTCCCTCGGGTCTGTGTGGGGGAAATCTCCATCCGAGATCAGGGAATTGACATGAGGCTATGTATCCTCTAGATCTCTTGAAATTGATCATTTCTAAGGTTGGATACAATAGATAACTATGGATAACTATATGGATGTGTATGTATCAAGTAGTTACATTCCAACGGGAAGCTTAGAGTTATAAGCTGATAGAATGTTTATAGATTTGCCCAATTTAGTAATGTTAGTGATGCATATAGGAGATATTATCAATATATGACTTAATCCAAGCTCTAAAATATGAAAATACAACAGGCAGGTTATAACCCCGTTGAATCTAATTTTGGAACTCCAGGGCTGTCTATGTAAGAAAGGTGGATAAGGCGATCTCACACGATAAACTCGGATCAACAGATTTCGAGTAAAATCGGAAGTGGAAACAAGGACTCGCTAAATATCTTCGATTCCAGAACTTAAAACTCGGAATATTAGAGAACATTTGAAAACATTTAGAAAAGAAAAAAAAACCTCGCATATTGATGATGTTCGTCCTCACCACCTCTGTGCTTCACGGGGTGCTTGTATGGACTCTTGAGTGAGATCGGGGCACAACCTTGGAATTATCGACCAGCTAGAAAAGGAAAATGATATAGAACAACATGAAACAATTGAAATAGTCAGCTTGAACAGAAAAAATCACCTATTTCCACTATAAACAGCCAGTTCGGATCTAACCCCCGGGATGCCGGAGTTGAAATACCCCAGACGAGGAAGAGATTCACGAGAAATGCCAATATCTTCGTCAACTTTCTCCCCTTTTTACCTTTACGGCTTGTCTTTTCCCCCTCCCGACTTCAACTTTCTTTTTCAGTAATTCCCCCATTCCCTCATTCCCCCCATCTCTCTCCCTACTCATCCTCATCCATCGCCCCTGCATCAGCTCGCCTAGGCCCGCGCATTCTCTTTCTTGGGCTCCACGGAAACTTCCCTTCTTCCTGCATCTTCCCACCACAAACGAATCCATCCCTCCATCAGGTATTTATGTCTTGCTTTCTTCCTCCATCTTTCTCTTTCATCCCTCTTCACTCCGAAACTGTTCCTACCTGAAACCAACTGACGCCGCGTCACTAGACCAGAACCCCCTTGACAGGTGTCTCTGAGTAGGCGTCTTGGACTCTTCTTCCTCAATTCCCCCCACACCTTAGCTCGACCCGAGTTACCAACCTTCGACGCGCTCGACCCGTAACCGGGGACCGCGGCCATCATGACGGGCCCTCCGCCATACAACGCCCAGTCCCCGACTCAGCAGCAGCGGTATCCGGCCTACACCTCTCCGAATAAGAACCACCCGTATTACCCAAGCAATGAACAACCGCAACCGCCGCAGCAATACCACCAGCACCCTCCACAGACTCCACCCGCATTTGGCCCATCCTCCGTCGCGCGAAGCCCGCACTTTTCGCACGCGTCCCCGATGCCCTCTACGTTGCCGCCGCCCTTGAATGGGAGTGCGCCACCTCACCCGTCTCACTCGGAGTCTTCGCAATACCAGGGACATTCGTCAGGTTCTCAGCTACCACTTCCGCGCCCTTACTCCAGCTCCGTGATCACGGGCAACGGTGCCTCGCCGTATGGCTCTGCGACACCCCATGGCCATCCGCCCAGCCGCCCAGAAGGTCATTCGCAATCTCCTACCAGGGAGTCCGAATCCCCATATCGGATGCGAAGCAATGGTGCTGGATATGGACCTCCGATGATGCGGGAGCCGAGACCGGTCTCGCCGCAGGAAGCCGTAGGCATTACCCGGACTCCCTCAGTATCTTATGATTTACTAACCCATTCTTGCCTCGCAGAAGCCCGCCCGAGCCGCAGATCCCATGTCGTTCGCCAGTATTCTTTCAGGCCCGTCGGACGAGCAGCCTGCGAGAAAGCCATCACCTCTCCCGGCCCCCATCCCCGCCCACGCGCCGCATCCTCCCCCTATCTTCACACACCGGCACCTGGATCACAGCTCTACGCCTGTAGCTATTCATCACAAACACGAGCACCGATTGGACTTTGAGAAACGCATCGATGGCCCGAGACCACTACAGCCCACCAATGGGTTCGTCAAGCCCGATGCGGAATCCCCTGCGCCCATTCCTCGTGCACCGCTTCGAAAACCCTTCCCTCCCGGTGTAGACCTGGAGCAGGTCAACCGGGCTGCGGCTGAGATCGATCACGCCGAGAAGAGCGATGTTGAAGATCCTGGCTTCGACGCGGAACAGGAACGGTATCGGGAGAAAGGCTACAAACGGTCGGTGGAAAGCAGCCGTGCGGAGGAAGTGCGACGAAAGGTAGGTTGACTAAAATTCGTTTTATGTCTACCCAATCGCTCATACTAACATATGCCCAGCGTCGCCGCAACGAGTTCCTTATCGATCTAGGTAGATCCTTCGAAAGACAAGCCATTCTTGGCACCGAAAGATTCCGAGTGCTCAACGAGGGTGCTGTCATGGCCGAAGTTCAACAAAAGGAGATCCAGGATGAAAAGGAACGGAAGAAGGACATGCAGCGCAAACGCCGTCGTGAGAACACTGTGCGCCAAGAAATGCAAAAGCAGGCAGAGGCTGAGCGCAAGGCAAGCAAGGCCCAGGAACCTGGAGAAAGGGCCAAGTTCCTGCGTGAAGCCGAGCGGGCTCAGAAGAAAATTCGCACCACCAAGCGCGCTCTGGAGGGCGGTGATGGCCAGGATGAGCTTGGTGAGGTCACCCCGCTTGCTCCCAATCTCGAAGGTGGGACGACGAGTCAATTCCATATCGGCCGTTCCTCGCCCAGCCGACGCAGGTCAGGTCGCGCCGGTCCTGTCACTCGTCCCAAGAAATCCAAGGAGCAGAAGCAGGCCGAAAAGGATCTCGCCGAGGCAGCTTGGAATGCTGGGTTGGACGACGACCTGTATCTCACCCCAAGCACGAAGAAGGATGTTCGACGTTCAAAGGAGGGTACTCCCATGTCGCAGCTACACTACGACAGCAAGGGTTACAACCAGATCTACGAGCAGATCTGGCGCGATATCGCGCGCAAGGATATTCCAAAGGTGTACCGCATCAAAACCACCTCCCTCTCCACCCGCCAGGAGAACTTGCGCAAGACGGCTCAGCTGGCCAGCAAGCAGTCACGCAAGTGGCAAGAGCGCACGAACAAGAGCACCAAGGATACTCAAGCCCGTGCCAAGCGGACGATGCGTGAAATGATGTCCTTCTGGAAGCGCAACGAGCGTGAGGAACGCGACTTGCGCCGTGTGGCTGAGAAGCAAGAGCTTGAATCAGCCAAGAAGGCAGAGGCGGACCGCGAAGCCAACCGACAGAAGCGCAAGCTCAACTTCCTTATCTCGCAAACAGAACTGTACTCTCACTTCATCGGGCGCAAGATCAAGACCGACGAAGCTCAAGGAGACAGCGCTGTTGCTGCAACCGGGGAGACTGTTCAGCCAGGCAAGCCCAACGCCCACACAGTCAATCTTCCAGACAGTGTAGCCAACCCCAACGCCAAGACCACTGCGTTCGAGGATCTCGATTTCGATGCTGAAGATGAAACCGTGCTGCAACAAGCTGCCATGGCTAATGCGCAAAATGCTGTGCAGGAAGCCCAGGATCGTGCCCGTGCTTTCAACAACCAAGGAGAGGGTGATAATATGGCTGCGTTTGACGACGGAGAGATGAACTTCCAGAACCCAACTAGTCTGGGTGACATTGAGATCTCACAGCCGGCCATGTTGAATGCTCAGCTGAAAGAGTACCAGCTTAAGGGTCTTAACTGGCTTGTCAACTTGTATGAGCAGGGCATCAACGGTATCCTGGCAGATGAGATGGGTCTCGGTAAGACCATCCAGTCCATTTCTGTTATGGCTTACTTGGCTGAGGTGCATAACATCTGGGGTCCTTTCCTGGTCATTGCGCCAGCATCCACACTGCACAACTGGCAGCAGGAGATTACAAGGTTCGTCCCGAATATCAAGGTGCTTCCCTATTGGGGTAATGCCAAGGACCGCAAGATCCTGCGAAAGTTCTGGGATCGCAAGCACATCACCTACAACCGTGACTCGGAATTCCACGTCCTAGTCACCTCGTACCAGCTTGTCGTTCTTGACGCGCAGTACTTCCAGAAGGTGAAGTGGCAGTACATGATTCTCGACGAAGCTCAAGCTATCAAGTCCTCTTCAAGTTCGCGATGGAAGAATCTGCTGGGATTCAGTTGCCGCAATCGTCTTCTGTTGACGGGTACGCCAATTCAAAACAACATGCAAGAACTATGGGCCCTGCTTCACTTTATTATGCCAACTCTGTTCGACTCCCACGACGAGTTCAGCGAGTGGTTCTCCAAGGACATCGAGTCGCACGCCCAGAGTAACACCAAGCTCAACGAGGATCAACTTAAGCGTCTTCACATGATCTTGAAGCCTTTCATGTTGCGTCGTGTCAAGAAGAACGTACAACAAGAACTCGGAGACAAGGTTGAGAAGGACATCTTCTGCGACTTGACATACCGCCAACGTGCCTTGTACTCCAATCTGCGTAACCGTGTCAGCATAATCGACCTCATCGAAAAGGCTACTACAGGCGACGATACTGACAGTAGCACACTGATGAACTTGGTTATGCAATTCCGCAAAGTCTGTAACCACCCCGATCTCTTCGAACGTGCCGAAACAAAATCTCCCTTCTCTGCTGCATCCTTCGCGGAAACAGCTTCCTTCGTTCGTGAAGGAAACTTTGTCGATGTTCGCTATTCGACTCAGAACTTGATCGAATACCCGTTGCCACGCCTATTGTGCAGCTCTACAGGGCGACTTGATCTTCCTGGTTCTGATAATCCCCGCGTGGGCTTCCAAACCAAGTACCTATCTCAGCTGATGAACGTCTGGACACCGGAAAACATTCAGAAGAGCGCACGTGACAATGGTGCGTTCTCTTTCTTGCGTTTTGTCGACACTTCTGCAGGAGAAGCAAGCGAGATGGCACAACTTGGTGTGTACGAGCGCGCAGAGCGTCGTCGCAGCAAGCCAAACAGGCTTTCTGCCTTGGATGTCATCTATGATGAGAGTGACGATCCAAAGAACTCCGTGCTATCCCATTCGATGTTCAATATTGTCGATCGTAATGATCGCCAGGCTGTTCGAGATATTGCCGTTGAGGGCCGAATGAAGGATCTTATGACTGTTTCACGCGCGTCATTCGAAGACCAAGGCCTTCACCTAATTGAGCCTTGTTCTGGTCCTAAAGCTTCAGCGCCCCCAATCACCATGTCCTCTTCCGGCCAACAGGTGCTACGGGAATCCCACCAGGCTTTGTTCAATCCGTCTGTCAGGCAAGCACTGTCTGGACACTGCAGCAGGGAACTTGAGGAGCAGATCCTCGCCAAGAAGCTCGATCCTGCGCCTTACTCTCACGCTCCTATGCTGCCGCCACCGGTCTCACTCAAGGGCCGCTACAGCCACATCGAGGTACCATCGATGCGTCGTTTCGTGACAGATTCAGGAAAACTGGCCAAATTGGACCAGCTGCTGCGGGAGCTCAAGCCCGGTGGCCACCGCGTGCTCCTCTACTTCCAGATGACACGCATGATCGATCTAATGGAAGAGTACTTGACATACCGGAACTTCAAGTACTGCCGACTGGACGGAAGTACCAAGCTGGAAGACCGCCGCGACACTGTCGCAGACTTCCAGTCCAACCCGGAGATCTTCGTCTTCTTGCTATCCACCCGTGCCGGTGGTCTTGGTATCAACCTGACGGCAGCCGACACTGTCATCTTCTACGACTCCGATTGGAATCCTACCATCGATTCCCAGGCCATGGATCGTGCCCATCGTTTGGGCCAAACTCGCCAGGTCACTGTCTACCGTCTCATCACCCGCGGCACCATCGAAGAACGCATCCGCAAGCGTGCCTTGCAGAAAGAAGAGGTGCAGCGTGTTGTCATTACTGGCGGTGCTTCTGGCGGTGTCGACTTCAATACCCGTGCTCGCGAGAACCGCACCAAGGACATTGCCCTGTGGCTTGCTGATGACGACGAGGCTGAACTCATTGAGCAAAAGGAGAAGGAAGCCATCGAACGCGGTGAGACCCTTGGCGCTAAGGGTGGGAAAAAGGCCGCAGCTCAGAAACGCAAGCGGGATCTTACGCTGGATGACATGTATCATGAAGGTGAGAACACCCAATTCCATTGCTGTGATTGACATCCATACTAATCGATTACCTAGGCGAGGGTAACTTTGACGACGCTAGCGCCAAACCCTCAGGGGCTGCTACTCCCGCCGAGGAGCCTGTCGAGACATCTTCGGCAACGCCTGCAAAGCGCGGGCGCGGCCGTGGTCCCGGCAAAGGCACGTCGAAACGAGCAAAGACAACAAAAGAGCGTCTCCGTCTGATCGACGGTGACGGCGGCCTCGATTAATTTAAGCCAATGACGGTCGATTAATGCAACTCGGGACGGCGTTGAATGCTTCTTCTCTTTCTTATTTTCTTGTGTCGATTGGTTATTCCCATTCCCTCATTGTCTTCCACCTTCCCTTTTCCCCTTTCCTTTTTCTTCTTATCTTCTCAAATGGCAGATATATGAACTGCTCTGTATTACCATACAAAACCTTGAATATGTTCTGGAACGGCGATGTGGGCTCAGTATGAACATTTCCCAAAGTCTGGCGGCTGAGAGTGGTGGATGCAATGATGAAAAGATGTTTTTCTTTCCTCCCCTACGATAGACTTGATCCTGGCTTTGGCTTGTGATTCATGGGTGGTTGTGGTGGTCTCAGTGTGAACTTGTTGTGATTTGTTCGTTCTTTTTTCCCTTCCATTCTACATTGTTTTTTCCTTTTTCCCATCTTTTTTCTATTTTGGCTTTCTGACTCGCTTGTTTGTTCAATGTTCAAAAAGGGCGCTCGTGTTTAAGTTTGGTTATGAGTGTCAATGTATTGGTTTGATGGACTCTTATGCCCTTGGTTTTGGCTTGTCATTGAAATCGTAGGATTAGATGTCATTGTAGTCAGGTGTAGTGTGCCTCTAGGGTTATGAATGGTGATGGGTGGTGGTGATGGTGAAGTTAGCGTTTATATGTTTCGAAGGTAGTATTTGTACTCAGCTTGCCAGCCTTGTCTATCAATCCCTTAGAGCTCATACATATGTACCAGAGATAAGGAAGTTACGTATATATGGTGGTCTTGCACGATGTCCCTTTCCTCTCGTCCCTCAAACATCAACTACTATAGCCTCCACCTCCGAGTCAATCTACTTTCTCAAACCACACCATGCACGGCGCTTACAATAGAATTACTAGTACTGAAAAACCAAGTCAAGAATACTCGTCATTTCATTTCCTGTCATGTCTCATCTCCACGGGAATCCGGCGTCTCGAGAGCAATAGCGATACTGGCATGTCCTTTTGTGGTTTTCGAACTCATCGTCAGGAATTTTGCTCGTATGGCAGGCCACATGCAAGTGTGTAAATGGCACGTGTCAAGGTGCTGGGCCTTCTCTGTCACTGGCAGATTATCTTCTTTGCACCTGTGACACTTCCAAAGTCCTATATACTCCAAAATCCTATATATATACCAAGCCGGCCTCGGTCGTAACTCGGTATAATCTCGGAACTGGTGGTGGTGGATCGAGAACTTTATCCGTGCATAATCCACAGTGTTCTGTCGACTTGGTACCGGGGCCAGTACGAGAAGACATAGTCGGGGTCTTCTCGCAAGGCTCTTTCACGTATCGCTGAACTAATCGGGGAATCGGAAATGCGTTCTCTTGTCTTGTCTTCCCATACTCCGCTCGACGACAAAGGTATTGGGCAAGAATGGAGTGGCCGATGGCGCTCAGCTTCGCCTGTTCGTCCTGCGGGACATGGAAGGGTCAATACTGATGTGTGGCCATTGGATCTACTCTAGCTCACGAACTGCGGAGTCCTTCTTTTTCTTCCGGATGGAGTTGTGGTTGGCTGTGTCTTTGTGCGGGACCTTACTTGGATGGGGGGTCCTTGTCGTGGTATAGGTAGATGGGTCAGTGGGGATGAGATGAGAATTTGAAAGTGGAAGGCTGGCTTACCCAGTCACGCACTCTGCAGTGTCTGGTTTCCGGACACGATTTCGGGAGTGCTGGATGCATGCTCTCCTATGAATCTTGTTGTCGAGGCGTTCTGTTTACATCCTCTGATATGACTTGCCACCAACCGAAGAGTTCCACTCCAGGTATTTTAAAGGTGTATTCACGCCCCCTGCATCTAACACTTCGGCTGCTGCTGATGAGATGAGTATCTTCTTATGAGATTTGCGAGGCTGCAGAGCGGATAGAGGCTAGGTTAGTTAAAAGAATGTAAGCAGAGTCCCAGTGATTGAGGGATATTGATCTCTTCAGTAATAAAGAAAGAAGGAATAGGAGTGATGGTGTATATAGAAGTGTAGAAAGGGGACAGTTCAATCACCTCGTATAATGTTTTTCGCATCATCAACGACCGGCCAATCTCTCCCCACTGAACCTCTGGGTTGAATGCTTGGTGTTGGTCATGGGTGCAGTAGATCAGAGCGGCGCTGTAACGAAGATTTTTCCGCACTGCTGAGAACTCTATCTGCATGACTAGATGGTAGAGCTCAATTCCCCATTCGAGGAAGATATCTATGCTCCCATTTTCCTGTAATCAGTCAGATATGTTCCACAAGATCAGCAATTGCCGTTGACAGGTAGGACGTACTTCAGTATACGTTTCGATCATTTTGGCAATTTGGGCTCAAGTGTAGCCTGGTATCTGTTGGGTCCAATCCCCCTGTCTGTACGCTTTTCTTAAAACAGCCATGGACCTTCCAATCTCTGCCCGCTGCAGCTCGGGGTTCGAAGCTCGGGGTTGATCATAAGTATATAGACCGGATCAGGGCGGCGTATTTCCCTATTGTCATTTCATGGTTGAGCGTGGTTTTTGGGGACGATGCATCCCCCCTTGGCATTTGCCAGGGAAAACTCCATGGCTGTCTTAATGTTGTCAGACTGTTGAATCGTAGATCTTTGACGTTCCGATAGCATATGGCGCCCCGCAGACAATATCAGCCATGTCAATGGTGTCCCTATATATTTGGTTTGCCTGCACCTTGATAAAGGTTAGTTCTGTCCTGCCTGTGACAATGGGGACTTCAGTGAAATAAAGTGATAGGGATAGATGACTGAGGTAGAAGTGAGAGAAGAGTGAAGGGAATATCCATGTCATGAACTCATTGATGAAGCCGATAGAAGGTGCGAGTGTGTGAAAAGATCCTTGCCACCTTCCATTTGAGAGTGAGATATTCCTTTCTTACCTAGTTGTCACCTTACTTCTGACCACATCGTCCTTGGCCTCTTTGTCGCTGTGGCTGTCCTTTCAACGGGTTATATAAAAATTGATAGCTCAGGTCTCTTTAGGCGTTGCCAGATGATGATGAAGAAGAAGAAGAAGATGTGTATCATCTTCTAAGAAGTTCATGGGTTTTATATACCCCGGCAAACAAGGCAACAGCAACGGCAAAGGAAAGAGAAGTGAATGAAAGAAGAAAGAGGAGCAAACGCAGGTCTGAGAAACCAGACAATCGGATGTGCATCTCTTTCCTTTCTATTCTCTCCTCTCTTCCTTTTTAACCTTCTCACTTAGCTTTGACGTATCCTTACCTCAACGATTCATTATTATTATTTCTCATTGAACTCTTGCATTTTCTTCTTATGTTCCCTGCCTTTAACATCTCCCGATAGCCCAATGGTCAGCTTTTCCCATAGATATATATTTGGTGATCTCAATTTCCTTGTATGAACTTTGAAAGTATATTTGCTCTTGCAATGCCATTTTATGCTAGTAACCTATATTGTACTGTCCATCTGTCACCATTATTGGTAACAACATTTACAGACGTTGATAAGTGATCCTAAATAGAATGAATATCTCGATCAAAGAAAAGTCACCGCGTGGGAAAAATGCTTGATACTTTAAAGCATGATAGTTTCTTGCATGATATTACAATTCATTTTCACTGAAGTTACGCCCAATGTCGATGATCCAGTCGTACACATGTCCTTCGACCTTCCGGAATCATTTTTCCACCTAAGTGACGAATCAGACAACGACTTCTCCGAAAGTGATGAAACTGACATCAAGAGCGAACCCGAGAAAGCATTGACGGCTCTGTGACTCGAGCGATCTCGGCTAACGAAATTCACCGACGTCTTGGACATGCTGGAAAATCGAAAATCAAGGCTACCATGACAAAATGCAGTTTTTGTCGATCCGCATGACGTGGTCGAAAAGGAAGAATTCACCTGCAAACCCTGCGAACTTGGAAAGTCAAAGAAACAAATTTCGAGGACTCCCCAGAAGAGACACAGTCTACTCGGAGTCAAATTTCAAATGAAACCGATTGGACACGGTGTCCCAGGTAAATTAGTCTTTCTGAAACCGATTCTACTCACAAGACCAACCCCACTACGATACACAACGAATTCACATCCGGATGACCCAGCAAGTAGACTTATCATGCTGGCGGACATAGAACCTGGAGATGGAACGGACAAATTCCACCGGTTAGAAACCGATTCGGATGTCGCGCCCCCGAAGATGAACCGTACTGTGGATCTGATGGAAAGAATTTGGTACCAGGAGTCAAGATCTTTGCCTCGTCGGTGGTTCCCAAAAAGAGAATTGAGCGAGAGATAATGATAGGTGTTAAAATTGCAATTCATCTAGGAATTCCTACACCAAGAGCAATTGTTAGCTTAATTTAACCCAAATATCCAAAATCAAAATTCAAGCAGTACCTATAGAGGCGATTCTACATTTGTATAAGATGGGAGATTTTGACCAACCCACCTCTTATATTGGGAAAGTACTGTCGCCTTGCTGCAAGCTAGCAACATGAGAACTCTAGCGAGCCTAGCGAAAATGCAGAAAAATTGCCCTCAACTATAAGATTGATATTGTAGGTCCACATCGACGAGTGGAGTGTTGATTCTGTTATAGGAAAGGATCTACCACAAATTGTAGTGCTAACGTCCACAAGTATAAAAGCACCTACTGTAACTAGATCCTTTTTTAGTTTATTGGGAAACAATATTAATTGACAGCAAGTCTAGACGAGATGTTGAACCCAATATGGATAATATCGCAGCTTGAATGGCCCCATAAATACGCACTTCCGCTTGCAGCGTATTCTAATTTTGATCGTATATTGGTGGGTTGCTTATTAGATTGTTGACAGGCTCACACGTCTTTCGACTACCGAGGTAGACTAATATAATTTACGATAATATAGTCAAACCCCGTAAAAATCGAAGGATTGGAGAGCAAACGGCGTCTAAAGTGGCGAGGGATCTGCCCGGCATTTAGGGTTGTGTGTGTCATTTTGCATTATATAATCGTATATTTTTACCTACCTAGGTACTACCTAGATACTACATAGATCATAGAGAGGACGATAACGGGGTTTGACTGTAACTCAACATGCCGTCCTCCCGCAAGTGGCAAAGCCCGGTAGTGAGGCACATCGGGAAGGAACATCCGTGGTTACCTCGGGATTTGCCCAGGAGCCAATCAGAGGGCTTTGTATGTAAGCCGGCCAGATCAGTCAGCAGCCCCCAATCGATTTTCCTTCTGATTCCGCCGGATTTTGATATGTTAACTCATACAATCTCCTGAATTCAAGGGGATTTCTGTTCTTGGTTTCTTTTTTCCGTCTACCTTTGGCTCAATTCAACTATGGAGGCTCTTTTGCAACAGTCTCGCTCTATGTGCCCTTTCCTCAAGCGCACATCCCCCACCACCCTCCGCACTCTGTCAACCGCTACTCGTCCCAGCACCAGCCCCGGAGGTGGAACCATGTCCAACCTGCAAGTTCTGGGTCGCCGCTGCCCAGTCATGAGCAAGGCTCTGGCTGTGCAGAGTGCCCGTCTTAGTGGCACCAAGCGCTTCACCTCGCGCGCCGCCGGAGTCGCTGGAATCCAGCCTCTGCGGGTTCCGACTGGCAAGCGGGCGTTGCACACCACCGGTGGTCACCCCGCCAGTCTCGCCTCTGGAGGATACGAGAAGAACGAGCGAGGTAAATTGAGTTCGTGAGGCTTGGAATTTGAGCTGTTCCTAATCTGACTACAGGAAACCCTAACTTGGCCAATCCGCTCCGCTCGTCCCCTACCGCCGCTGGCGCCGGCACCGCAGTCCGCGGTCCCCGCCCGGAAGCCCCAACCAACGAAAAGTTCAACTACGATGGTTTCTATAACGTGGAATTGGAGAAGAAGCACAAGGACAAGTCCTACCGCTACTTCAACAACATCAACCGTCTCGCCAAGGAGTTCCCTCGGGCCCACACTGCCTCTGCTGAGGAGCGTGTGACTGTCTGGTGCTCAAATGACTACCTCGGCATGGGTCGTAACCCCCAGGTCTTGGACTCCATGCACAAGACTTTGGACACCTACGGAGCCGGTGCAGGTGGTACTCGAAATATCTCGGGTCATAACCAGCATGCTGTCGCCCTGGAGGATACTCTTGCCAAATTGCATGGCAAGGAGGCCGCATTGGTCTTCAGCTCCTGCTACGTGGCTAACGATGCGACCCTCGCAACACTGGGCAGTAAGATGCCCGATTGTGTCATCCTCTCGGACAGCCTCAACCATGCCTCGATGATTCAGGGTATTCGCCACTCTGGCGCGAAGAAGATGGTCTTCAAGCACAATGATATGGAAGACCTTGAAGCCAAATTGGCCTCATTGCCACTTGGTACCCCCAAGATTATTGCCTTTGAATCTGTCTACAGTATGTGCGGATCAATTGCGCCCATTGAAAAGATTTGTGATCTCTCCGACAAATACGGTGCCATTACTTTCTTGGATGAGGTCCATGCCGTAGGAATGTACGGCCCACACGGAGCTGGAGTTGCTGAGCATCTTGATTATGATGCGTACGCATCGCAAGATACAGCTTCCCCTCAAAGCACCAAGGGCACAGTCCAGGACCGAATTGACATTATCACCGGTACCTTGGGCAAGGCCTACGGCTGTGTCGGTGGATATATCGCAGGCTCGGCAGCCATGGTGGACACCATCCGCTCCCTTGCCCCCGGCTTCATCTTCACGACTTCACTCCCACCAGCAACCATGGCTGGTGCCGATGCCGCCATCCAGTACCAGTCCCAGCAACCCCGGGACCGAATCCTCCAACAACTCCACACCCGTGCAGTCAAGACCGCCCTCAGTGATTTGGATATTCCCGTCATCCCCAACCCCTCACACATCGTCCCCCTCCTGGTCGGTGATGCCGAGCTGGCCAAGCAGGCTTCCGACAAACTTCTCGAGGAACACGGCATCTACGTGCAGGCCATCAACTACCCCACCGTTCCCCGCGGCGAGGAGCGTCTGCGCATCACCCCAACCCCAGGCCACGTGAAGCCCCTGCGCGAGCACCTCGTGCAGGCCGTGCAGACCGTTTGGAACGACCTAGGCCTCAAGCGCACCAGCGATTGGAAGAGCCAAGGCGGTTTCGTTGGCGTTGGCGTTGAAGGCGCCGAGGCCGCCAACCTGCCCATCTGGGAGGACGCCCAGCTGGGACTTCAGGCCGGCGAGACCCTCGAGGGCGCTGTTGCTCGTGAGTTCAACGACGTGGCTGCCCAGGCCACCGTGCCACTTATGAAGGCTGCTACCCCTCTGACCGAGAAGGCTTACTCGGGAATGAACTCCACCCCCGTTGGTGTGGTCGCCTAGAGCAGACGAGCC